CTGGAGGCTGAAGCAAGAGGATCGCTTGAACTCAGGAGTCTGAGGTTGCTGTGAGTTAGGGTGAGGCCTCATGACTTGATAAGTAAAATTGGCAGATTCCACCATGTCAACATGTAAGCTGCAGGAGAGAGCTGAAGCCCAGGGTTTATATCATTCATTCCCCCAACCCATTCCCTTAACCTCCCCTGCTTGAAAACTTGAAATGATGAGGATACAATGATTTGGGCCCAAACACGTTATATTGTGGAGATGGAAAAGAGCCATATACATTTTAAGAAGGGGAACGGAGGCAGACCACAGGAGGAGGGATCCAGAGGGATGACAATGGGGCCCAGGACTCCTTCTGGAGGCTCAGAGATACCAGGATTCCAGGAGGTCTCACAGCATGAAAGAGACCTGACTACTTTAGCTATTAGCAGCCAGAATGGGGGGATGTTCAGGCAGTTGCTGGGAATGCATTTACATCCTGAGAGTCAGGGTCCTGGGACAGGCCAGGCGCAGGCAGAAGGGCCCCAGTGTCATCCCCACGGAGAGAGATCCAAGGGGCTGAGGAAAAAAGGAGAGGCCATAAGTCTCTGAGACCCCCTGGATCTCTGACCACCCCTTGCCCCATTTGTGTGTGTGTGTGTGTAGGATGTGCAGAGACTGTCTTACCCTCTATGAGTTTCTGCCCCCATCTTCCTTCCTTGCCCCCTTCCACTCTCTGTCCTTTCCCTTCTGGGTCTCTATCCCCTCTCTCTCTGTATCTGTTTCCCCATCTCCCATTCTCTGCCCCACCCTTTCAGTCTCTGCCCTCCCAGGTAAGTGTCCTCTGTTGGAGCTCTTCCTCTTTCTGCACACCTGGCAGCCCATTCTTCATCCTCCTCCACAATAGCACTCCTCCTACAGCTGCTGCCATGAGCAGCAAGAAGCCAATGATGATTCCAACCACTGGCATTGAGGACTTGACTGGTGATTCTGCAACCAGAGAATGCTGTGAGACATTGAGTAGACCCTCCACCCCATCCAGTCAAGACAGGAAAAAGGGACTGTCCTGGTCCCTCTCAATCTTGGAGATCCCAGCACTAAGTGTCTGGGGGTGGGGATGGGCAGAGGAAAGGGTATGTCAGGCAATGCTCTGAGTCTGGGCAGAATATCCCCAGCTGCATATAAGAACCAGCTATAGCCTGTAATCCTAGTACTCTGGGAGGCCAAGGTGTGTGGATCGTTTGAGCTCACGAGTTCGAGTCCAGCCTGAGCAAAAGCAAGACCCTGTCTCTAAAAAGTAGCTGGGCATTGTGGCAGGTGCCTATAGTCCCAGCTACTCAGGAGGCTGAGGGAAGAGAATCATTTGAGCCCAAGAGCATGAGGTTGCTGTGAGCTATGTGCCATGGCACTCTACTGAGTGTGACAAAGTGAGACTCTGTCATCTCAAAAAAGAAAAACAAAACATACAAAAACAAAAGAACCAGCCATAGCAAAAAAGATGCCAGTCACACTGTAAGGGACCTGTGGCAGCAGTACAGGTGGTGTTCCAATTTGAAGAGCAGGAGCGCAAAACAGTAGGTTAGTCTCAAGGAGGACTAGTAGTAGCAGGGCAGCAGATGGTTAGTAGGATTGGCAGCAGCAGACAATAAATGGTCAGATCCCATGATAACCACCAGCAGTAAGATGGAAGATGGTCAGACTTAGGGAGGACAAGCCATCAAGCTTTAGGAGAACTGACAGCAGAGAGAACGGAACAAGGTAGTCAAACTCAAGGAGGACTAGCAGCAGCAGGGAGGAAGGTCAGACTTGGGAAGGACTACGGCAGCAGTGGGACAGAGGCAATCAGAAATAGGGAGGATCAGGTGGCGCCAGTGGCTCAGTGAGTAGGATGCTGGCCCCATGTACCAAGGGTGGCTAGTTCGAACCCAGCCAAACTGCAACAAAAAAATAGCCAGGTGTTGTGGCAGGCGCCTGTAGTCCCAGCTACTTGGGAGGCTGAGGCAAGAGAATCGCCTAAGCCCAGGAGTTGGAGGTTGCTGTGACCTGTGATGTCACAGCACTCTACCGAGGGCGACAAAATGAGACTCTGTCTCTAAAAAAAAAAAGAAAAGAAAAGAAAAAAAAGAAGTAGGGAGGATGCGCTGTGGTGGGCGCCTGTAGTCCCAGCTACTTGGGAGGCTGAGGCAAGAGAATAGCCTAAGCCCAAGAGCTGGAGGTTGCTGTGACCTGTGATGTCACAGCACTCTACCGAGGGCGACAAAATGAGACTCTGTCTCTAAAAAAAAAAAGAAAAGAAAAGAAAAAAAAGAAGTAGGGAGGATCGTCACTCAGGGGACCTCACCCAGCTTCACGGTGAGGGGTTGTGCCAGCCCTGCATGCTGCACAAGGCAGCGGTAGTGGTGCTCGTCGCCACTTTTGACTGTGAGTGATGACCAGGCATGGAAGGAGCCGTCGCCGTTGGGGCCAGTGTCACTTTCTCCAGAGCCAGCTGCCAGCCCATTCCGTAGGAATCGAAGTTGCAACTCCGGAGGGTAGAAGGAGAAGGCACTGCAGGTAAGCACGGAAAAGCCAGGGCTACTGGGTCGGGCCTTCAGGCGCATGGAGGGTGGCTCTGCAGAGACATAGGCAAATAGGCCTAAGCCCCAATCCCGTGACCCCTAGGGGCAGGCCCAGTGCAGGGCTGGATAGGAACAGAAAGAAACCTCCATTCCTAGTGCTTTGCACTGTGCTGAACCTGGAGAATATAGTGGTAAAGGGGGTAGCCCCCTCACAGAGTGACAGAGACCCATTGTGTTCATACTGAGGGTATCCTCCTGAAGACTCCACCTCTCATCCATCCTTTCCTACAGTAGACATGCACTGAGCATCTATCACATGATCTGGCACATGCCAAACACTCCTCTAGGCACTGGGGACATAGCAGTGAACAAAACAGACAAAAGTTGCTGTCATTATAGAGTCAGCATTCTCATGAGGGGAGACAAACATTTGTGTGCAAACAGATGAAAGGGAAACACGTTATGAAGGTGTTGTGATGAGGGAACATGTGACATACCCTACAGACATTAAAAAAGACAGTAAGAGGATTATAAAAAATTTCTGGGAACACAACTGAAAAGTTAAATGAACTAGAAACATTTCTGAGAATCACAACCTTCCAAAACTGATACAAGAAGAAATTAAAAACTTGAGTAGGCTCGGCACCTATAGCTCAACCAGCTAAGGCGCCAGCCATGTACACCTAAGGTGGCGGGTTCGAATCCCCAGCCTGGACCCGCCAAACAACAATGACGGCTGCAACCAAAAAATAGCCAGGC